TTAAGCTCATGCTTTATTAACATGCGCATGAAATACCTTATCCCCCATTGTCATAGGTCAGTTATTAACACCAGTATTATGACTATCAGCCACTTCGCAACAGCTGAGTGACTCACTAGCTGTTCCACGCACATTAATTAGTAATCCACAACAGCTTATGACGGATACAAATTGTGTATTTGATAAGCAAAAGTCGACGCAAAAACACAGCACGCACAGTATGATGGACGGACAAACAAGACGACTTGTGAGTGGCAAAAATACTGAGTTGCATACATATTTTTTGTACATAATATTGATCAACTAAATACAAACATATTGCTGATCACTTTTGCAAATATGTACGAATACACATAGTGCATAACAGGAATGACCGACAGACAATGCGACAAGTGACGCGGGTATTTATGTTGCTGTCATAAAGATGACATATTACAATATGACAACTTGTCACAAAAACCGACAGGCTGCAATGTGCACTAGGGTCACAACGGGGCTGCAGTCGAGATCGGTGCGTCCTGGTACTTGAGTGAAGTATGCGTATAATACAAATTAACACTTTTCCAGTGACAGTGGCAGTAGGAAAACATGAATTAGAGAGAGAGAGAGAGAGAGAGAGTGGGAGCAGTAGCGCAAGACAGAGATGAAGAGTGAGTAAGAGCGTGATGTAGGAAGAAACGCTCGATTAATAAGTGGCATTAAATGCAAATGGAACTACAATATAAGAAATATGCATTTTCGTATGTATGTTTGTATGTATTTGTAAGTAGCCGCATTTGTATGCACAGCTGATTGATATTTGCATGCATGGAATTTTAGAGCAAAAAGGCTGACAGCAGCAAAAAGCTGTCATATTTTGCATGATTGGACGCATTCAGATCGACGATGCGACTTCTTTCAATGCATTTTTCAACGTCTTTTTTGCATTCACAGTGTTCTTATATATGTATTTGCTACGAGTATTCTGCGTTCGTTAGCTTTATTGCATTCATTCATAAATTCATAAATGCTGCAAATTGCAAGTTATTATAGAAGACACATGAAAGTAACAGGAAGCAGCAACGGTTGCACACACTACATACCCACACATGCACGTACAATATATAAATGTATGTGTTTTTAAGCATCTGTAAATATTTGCGCCTAATAAGTGAGAGAAGCTGTTTGCCAAGCTGGGCAACAGTAAAAAATAAATCGCAACAAAAAACAGCTGGTGGAGGTCATTTGAATTGAACGAAAAAACGGTCAACGTTCAAGCTGATCGAGAATGTTTGCTGCTGCATTGGCATGAATGGAAGCATTTAAATACATAGGTACGCGCTCAAAAGCGCTGCAGCGTACTGTGCTGTGTGTAATAAAGTGCAGTGGCATGACCAAATAAGGCGCTTACGATAAACGCAAAAAAGAAACGAACGCAAACAAACACGCAGACGATCATCGCCCCGCTGCTGCTGTTGCTGCTGCTACGATAGCGCGTGGAGTCATTAAATAGCACGCCAAGCCAACAGGCAGCCAATGTTTACTGCACGCATGTCATTGCTAGCTTCCCAGCCGGCCTCCGTTGCGGCTGTGCTCATCGTACGCATTGCCACAATGCATGGACGGGTGCGACTCCGGCAGCTGAATCGTCCGGCAAACGCTAGCCACATAAAGCATACACGCAATGCAACGCGCATGCAAGCCCAAGCTTAGCGGCTGGTTTCAGCTTGTTGGCCTGTTGCTAAGCTGCCGCTGAGGCTGGCAACCAACACAATTGGCTTGGGTGTCCTTATTTTTTCACGTATGCCCGCCAAAAAGTGTTGATGTTCTGTAGCGCTACAGTGGCAGCAGCAACAGCAAGACAAGTGGAGGGCAGTGTTGTGTGATGGTGTGTTGTGAGTTCATGTATGCTTGCGCAAGCTTGCCGTGTTGCTGCTCAACTTTTGCGATAACGTCAACAATGCGGAATGTTGCCGAGATCGCGCACAGTGTTCTTGTTATTGCAGCTTTGCTGTTGTTCATGGCCATACGGATTAAGACGGCAGACGGCAGACAGCAGAGAGCAGCGGCATAGTCACTACTATCTCCAACTAAACTTCACATGCCAGTGCTCTAGCGAGACCATTGAATGCAAAAGAAGTTTACAGCTTTAATGAGTGGTTAGTTATTTTTATGGTAGTCGCTAAACGGAAATCAGTTGTGCAGCAGCAGCAAAAAAAGGGGGCATGAAAAGAATAAGTAGAGAGTGGAGTGGTATGGGAAGGTAAAAATCAACTAAGAACACAAATAGACTGGTAAACGGTAAAGTAATCGCTGGCATAGTTGAATTCAAAATGCTAATATTTGCAGCAAAATGCAATCGAGTTTGGTGCAACGACAAAGCGTGTGCGCTGATTAAGGAGAGCGTACGCAGCATCAACCAGCTGAGTGGCAGGTACATATATCTACATATATCTACTTTTTAATATAATTTTTGTTGCTGTTTCAGTGCACGCAATGCGCACATTAAATTTTTGTAATTACCTGCATTTACACCTTGAGCAATAAACGCAATTAAATTATCGAAGAAGAAATTAAAACCAGAATGAGTAGGCCGCGAGCTAGTTTTTGCAAGGGAAATGGCGCGAAATCGGTTCTTATTTTTGATTTATTAATCTTACTTCCTTGCAGTAAATTAATTTTTCTAATACAACTAAACCAAATTAAAATTAATTTTTCTAATACATGGAAACTAAATAAAACAAGCGACTCCACTCCACCTACATCGGGCCAGTATAAAAATCAGCAAATTAACGCAACAGTTGACGAGGTGGTGGAACGCGTCAAAACGTCCCTCTAAACCGCACCCGAAACGGTCGCCGAGCACAATGCCAATAAAAACACCAACACTCTTAACTAACTAATCAACTAACCCCTAATAAATTTTGGCTTTTAATCAGCGTTTCCACTCGTACCTGCCTACATGCATACATGTTTGACACGCTCAAGCAAGCGCACAATTTGAGGAACCCGTAATTTAACAATTTACACTCGGACAACGCCCCCAAAAAAAGGAGAACGTTGTGTGGAAAAAGTGACGCACGCGTACAAGGAAANCTTTCCACTCGTACCTGCCTACATGCATACATGTTTGACACGCTCAAGCAAGCGCACAATTTGAGGAACCCCTAATTTAACAATTTACACTCGGACAACGCCCCAAAAAAAAAGGAGAACGTTGTGTGGAAAAAGTGACGCACGCGTACAAGGAAACCGCCAGGCATAGGAATTGAGAAGTGGAGTCTAATGAAAGGTTTGCTAATTTTTTTTCAATTGATTTTCAAATTTCTTCATTTCTTTGCATTGAGCCGGGCATAGCGCTGGCAAAATGTTGGAAATATATTTTATTTAAGCAAGCCAATATAACATTTATTGGCAGCTATGTAGTATTGCACAGAAAGGGCTCAATATTAAAAGAAAAAGCCAAGAGAAAGGGGAGGCTTGTTACGAGTAATTGAATATCCAAGAGACAAAGAGGGAGTATTACAATAAAAAAAAAACATATCTTGGACACAATTATCGATTTTCTTTAGACTTAATTATTGATATTTTGACAGACAAACATATCCACGAATGGTTTTAATAATATTAACAATCGATTTATTGTAATACGTTGGTAACATTATAGATATATGAATCGGGAAAGTTATCGACTGTTTATTTTTTGCCCATTCATTTTATGATATTGACATCGATATATTAACTTATCATTAATGTAGTTCTCGATGTATATGTCGATATATCTGCCGTTATATTTGTCGATATGTTTGTCAATATTACCAACGATAAGTTTATCGACATGTATACATATACTTATAAGCATTTATTGGTACCAAAGTACAAATTCCTATCCATATTACGGTATATTAATTGAAAAAGTTATCGACTGTCCATTTGTACCGATATAGTACTTGATATATTTATCTATATATTTGTCGATATTTGTTGTAATATTTCTATCGACAAACTTATCGATACATTGATCAGTGCTCGAAAGAAGACGCTTTGTCGAAAACGACGCTGATAGAGGAGGTGACGAGTTCTCTACAATCGGTTAAACGGAGGAACGAATTGTACACGATCCGGCAGGCGCAGAAGATGTGGATTTAAACGCAAAGTAGCAAAGTGCTCAGAACTTGTCATATGATATCAAGCTCACAAAGTTTCTCCTATGGCTTAACAGGGAAACCTTTGGCTTGGTAGGTTGGTGTGCTAACAGCACACTTTGCTGGCCACCAAATTGACACTGTTAAATGATAAGAACAAAAATACAGGGTATAGGGAACAAAAAAGCAGACACTGCAGAACTTCGACCGCGAGTACCCAGCCCTTTCCGCTGAATTTTAGAGTAGCTGCTAAAATAGGGTACAATAAGCTGTCTAAGTTTGTCAAGAGGACTGCGTGTGACGTTTTTCAACATTGCTCCTGCAGAGATTAGCGGTGTAATATGGTCGTAGTTTTTCTGGTAACGCTGTGGATCTCAATGGTCTCTGCGCAGCCAGGCAGTGGCTTGCCAGCTCAATATAGTCTAGCTTAATTTCATACTTGTTTAATTTGAAATCAATTAGCCAGCGACTTATCGCTTATGGGCAAAATTGCACATTAGTTAGTTCTCGATTAATCTCTTAGATATGATAAATGCACGTGCAATTATTTAAGAAACGAAATTTCATTTGCGGCGTTGACAAAGCAGGCAAAATATTCTCCCAAAACACCTGAGCTGCTTAGTTCAAATCTATGGGCAATTTTTATTTTTATAAAACGAGAGTGTCTAGGAATTTCCTTGACCTGGTACATTTTGATCAGGTATGTTCTGCAATTCACTTCCCACTGAATTTCAACCCCATTCAATTTGAATTCAAACTGGCTTTTGTTAAAATTCACCTGGCAGTGAACCCAAACCCTTACTTCCAAAATCATACATCTAAAGAATTCAAAAAATAAAATTAAAAAATTTTGCAAATTATAAATTTTCTACTTACTCATAGATCGCATCCTTATCACGTTTATGTACTTCGGGTATTGCGCCCATTAAGTGATTAGCAACCGGTGATACATGACTAGGTGTACCATGACCACCAGCGCCAGTATGGTAGCCATGCATGCCAACTGTTGCCGCCGCCGCAGCAGCGTGTGTCATGTGCGGTGAATGATGCGTGGGGAGGCCTTGTAATCCGGGCGGCCGATGTCCGACATGTGGATCGTACATGGCAGCTGCTGCAGCACCCGAGTCCATACCATAGCCATGCAGGCCATCGTCATACTGTAAGGGTGGAGAGAGAGAGAGAGAGAGATAAAGAAAAGCAGAGTTAGGAGTTTGCATAAAAATTTGATCATTAAGCAGATAAAAAAAATTAAATTTGTGCAAAAACTAAGAGCAATTAATTAATTTGTCATAAATTTAATGCACGAAATAAATAAATCACAAATAAAAGGTAATAAATTTTTTGTTGTCATTTTTCGTACAGTTGCTTTTGTCGACTTGCAAGTATATTTATTGCCTTTTGTGATGCTTGGAAATTTGATGGGTACATTTTTGTACTTGCATATACCCATATTTAAAATTTAAAGTATTTTTTGTTTTGTTTTTCCATTAGGTTATTAACACAAGGCGGCGAAGACCTCAAGCAAATGTGTAATTATTAGGTATAGAAGTAAATTTTTTTTAATACAATTTTTGTGTATGCAATTTTGCTAAATATGGTCTATCTGCTAGTGTGCTTAACAGTAAATTGAATTGTTGTTGTCGTTGTTGTTATTTAGCTTACAAACAATAAACGCTATTATATGACTTTTTGGCTGCGTCATTGCTAGCGTTAAAATTGCTGTTAATTAAAATTAATTGCAAAATAATCTCAGCAATTTTAATTGGCAGTCGGCCAGCCGAATCCAAAGCCCTGAGTGAGTATAACGTGCAATTTGTTTGTAGCTGCTCGTGTGATTCGGTTTTTCTGCATCTCAAAGTCGAACTCAAGCGCAGATGCGTTCAACTGCAAAAAAAAATGGACTTAAGGCTTAGTGGGGCGAGTCTAAACGTTTTGCATTGATTTGTGATGCTGAGGGAGGTGGAAAGTGTGGGGGAGTGTGGTGGAAACACGTTATCCGCTGCTTATGCTAATTTATTTATTTTTTTTTTTAAGAAATGTAAAATTTGATATTTTGATGAATTACAGGTTTCGTAAGCGCAATGACTTTCGCGAATAATTTATTTATTTATTGTTGTTGACTTTGATTTTTTTTGTTCTTTATGTATATCCATTTATTTATTTATATGTATTCCAATCCAGTTTACTTTATTTTATATTATCTGCACGTTTGATGTCATAGAATAGTTTGATAAATATTTTATGGCGCATTTTAATAGCTCAATAATGTCAAGCGTAGCGACTCATTAACACCAACGCTCGGCAAACATATATCTACATATATGTATATGTATGTTTAACTGTGTGCAGATAATGTGCTAAGCGTAGCTATTAAATAGCCGTAAATCACTTGGACTTACTTGCAAGCAAAGTGAAATTAGTACAAAAATCTGTGCAGCTTAGGAGGCAAGTTGGCGGAAGCGTCCTGAAGGTGGAGTTAAAAGCTTTAAGCTTCCATTTGTAATTTAAGGCCAGCCCGTGTATTGTATACATATCTACGTTGTATATAGACACGCACACATACAGATATATACATACATATGTATGTACATATGTACGTCAGCGCATCACAATGGCATTTGCACGTCAAGTGGCAATCAAGTTTAGAGCTGGCCAGACAGCTTACTTTTTTCGCTTATTCTGTGCTACCTATGCCGCGCTAAATTCACGTCGACAGCTGACACAGTATTTCGATGCGAATGCTAAAGAAAAAAACAAAAAAAAGCTACCACAAAATATACGCGAAAATATTTCCAAATTTGTTCCCACCGCAGGCAAATACAGCCATGCATACTTTTACTTACATATTTACATACATACATACATATAGTATGTATGCACGTGTGTTGCCCAAAAACCGCTTTCATTATGGGAGCAAAATATTGGCATTGTTGCTGTTGACCGCTTTTATTGCGCTGCTGACGACAACTTCAACGCTTGACCTTGTAAATCTCGCTCCAAACACCAGTCAAACTTTTTGTTTTTTAGCATTTTTTTTTTATTTGAAACAATCACTTGACGAAACGCCAACGCGCGGCAGGAATAAAGATGAACTGGTGAGCAACTAAAACAGCAAACATATCCACACACACACACACACAACAACAACAACAACAACAAAATTCACGTGGCCACTGCACGCTTTTTGCATACGAAATGGATGCCTTTAGCTTTAGCGTCAAGCCCGCTATGAAGTTACGAGTACGGGCATGGAAATGTTGGCGAAGCGTTAAAAAACCCATCTTCGCATACAATGTAAAAGTATGAAATACACCAATGCAAAAGTGACGCGCCGCTTACAAGGCTTACAAAGAAGACAACAAAAACGTAGGTAATGAAATTATATCGCCTATTCAAGATCTGCAGTGTTAAAACTTTTGTAAGACATTAAAATATTTAACGCCACGCTCACCTGACGTGCAAACACACACGCACAACTTTAAGCTAATATGTACATACACATAAAAACGCGCATACTCCTCAAGTTTCTTGGCGGTGGGTGGTGGCGAAGGGAAGCAGCTGCGCGTTCAACAAGTTTTCCACTTGACGCCGACTTTTACAATTTTTGTACGCTCCTTTGCAAACTTTTACTGATTTTTGTCAAAGCATATACGTAAAGCAAAAATTGAGGACCCGCTACTGCCGCGAATCGTCAAAGATTTTTATCACATTTCTCTTTGACACTCTACAGACAAGCCAAATGCGGTTGTATTGTATTTCACACTGCATATTTTATGCTCGAACTGTTGTTGCTTATTAGGTTTTTTTTTATATATTTATTTTTTTCCTTTTCAGCGAGCAACGTTTTAATAAGCGACAATTGACGACACTGCTAAATAGTGCTGTGGGAAGCTGCGTTGTTGCTCTGAGCTTATCAGGTCCACAAAATCACTAAGAGTCTCGCAGTCAAGTTGACTAAAATGAGCAATTGACAGTTGGTGTAAATGTCAAGTTGACAAGGGGGATAAATTCTACGCTTCACTATTGTGTTGCATGCTATTTGTTATTGAAGCGCGAGTGGATGCTGCGAGCGGTACACAGGTAACTACAGATGAAGCAGATGAGGCACACAAATGAGGCAAACAAGTGCATGATTATCAGCGCTCTCATCAGGTTCATCAGCAGCAGACGGAGCAGCAACAACGAAGACAACATTGACAGAGCCATCAGCTACAGTCATTGCCAGTTGAGAACGCATAAAATGAGGTTAAATGATTGTTGTGCGTTTGGTTGACGGGGGAGACCAAATGAGTTGATGAAGCAGCTGATAAGGATCAGACATGGCGTAGAGTTGGTTATGTTGAGTGGAGACTAGGCAGATTTATGTATGTATAGAGAGTTCGTATTAATGCTTGGAATTTAGAGTTGTTGGAAAGTGCATATTTTTTTGTTTATTAAAAAATCTTGATTGGAAGATAATGAGATTAATTAACGCTTAATACTGAATAGAAAGCAAAGAATAATTATTGATGAATAGCCAGCGGCACAAAACTGGAAAATATTGCAAATCGTGAAACTTTAAAACAGCCTAAAAAAAATTAACAAAAAAAGTTACTCGAAATGAATTTTTTATTTATTTTAAAATAAAGAGCTTCTGATGATACAAATTTTTGCATTTAATCAGTTTAACTATTTTACTACTATGAATACGAGCATACATCACAGAAATGCTGTTCTGCGACCACCAGCTTCAATTGAACAAAAAATGCCTAAAATCGCCTACCTTGGGAAACTGAGAAATTATTTTTCTATATACGTAGATATAATCCAGACTTTCAGAAAAATTGGTTTTCATCAATTCCCTAGAAGACTACCGAATCCTGTAAAAGTTATTAGCGATAACTGTAAGTATCGATATATTTATCGATAATGGTTTGATGTAATTCTTGGATTATCTGTTATTATTCCAGTATACTCTTAGCGATAACTCATTTGATATATACCTTTTTCGACACATTTATCGAAATTTTTTAATTTTTGATTACTTACTACTATGCATTACAAAATATAATTATTATATTGTTTTCAAAATAGACACTTCAAAAAGTATTTATCGATAAGTTCCTCGATATACTTTAGACGTCGAGATCGCTTTCGAAATACCTGGCGAATACATAGTAGATACCTATTTTCATATCTGCATCGCTGAGTGTGCTTTTCCTAGGCATTATATTGGAAATTTATAACCAGAAGCGTTAGAAATGTTAAAAAAGTTTACCAAAAAGTGAAAAAAAAAAACGTCAAGCGGCTAAATAACACCTGCGCGCGCACATCGATCAAATTGTTGTGCGTATACCTTGATTCCCAACAAGAGCAAGGGCAGATACTTGCCACAAATCGCAATACTGTCACACGTATATCGTCGTTTAAAGTACAAAACCGCGTATCGTCATTCTGCAAAACCGCGTAACTGACATTTGCTGCCAAAAATTGGATTTGCTCACACAAGCTCTTGGCTCAATCCTTATCCATTCATCCTTAAATATACTAGCCAGAAATGGGATTGCTTTATAAAAGAGAAAACTATTTTGAAATATGAGTGTTTTTACTATCTAGAAAATAATTTATGCAACCTCACATACGCGGTTTTGTATTTTGTTGATACGCGGTTTTGTACTTTAGACGACGATATGTATGTATGTACACAGTCTTCAAATGCATACATATGTACATATGCATCTCAGCAACATTCAGCTTGCATTGCCAACCGAAAATTTGTTGCATGGGGCAAATCTTCTTTCTACATAGTACTACATACATGAAAACCAAAAAGCTTGCATGTATGCTTTTGCGCCTGCGCGCCAAACTTAACGCACAAAAAGCACTATATAAACCCCGGTGGAGCAACAGCTAGCAACATTTTTGTTGTTATATTTTGGCTTATATCTTACAGTTTCTCAGCCGCGCTGAATTTATTTACTATCTACTATTGTTATTTAAAAATCGAGTTTGAACGAAATAAAGCAAATGTCCTACGATGCACACACCTACATATGCGATTGATTTTTTGTTGCACTCAACTTGGTTCGTACATATCATACATATGTATGTACATATATGATTGTGTGCTTGAATTGTGCTACAAGTTTAAATTTTAGTTTCAACTGCAACTGTCAGC